TATAAATAGAAAAACCAGATGAGGGTATGGCTTTTTATATTCAACAGCCAATAAAAAATGCACAACATGCTAAGATCAAAGCAACGAAAGCAACCTTCTTCTTCCAGAAAAACTTAAGGGATTTGATTCTGTTTTCTTTTGAGCCCTCTATGCAGAGACAAAATGAACAGACCCACTAAAGTTCTTTGCTTCTGAAGCAGGCAATTGAGAAGTTTAAGCCTCATCAGATATAAATGTGCTCCTAATTCTGGTTTAATTGGATAGGGGAGAAATTGTTTCAGGATGGAATAATCATCAAAAACAAAAGTTGCTACTCTGAATAATAGACCTCAAACAATAACAAAGTTTTATTAGAATATTATTTGAATCAAAGCATCATATGCATAGCTTTATACATGGAATGTACTCTAAGAATAGCTTTTGTTTTCAGTCTAATTATTCAGCTTGGGAATGACTTCTTAAAAACTAATATACCACTTCAAAGATAGGTTATGTTCTAGAGAATAAACATAACAAGAACCCCTAGAAACATTTTTAATAGGCTTATGCATAAACAAATTAAGGGATTTTCTTTTTAAGTTTAAATATTCTGTACTAACAAAATGAAATACCATTGCATTCAAATATTAAATCAAGGTCTTTGGAAAGTTGGACCATGTGTCACCCCTGTGAAAGTTGTAATGCATTTTAGAATTTTTTTTCCAAGGAACCCTAAAGCAGAAGACACATTTGGTTGGGAAACTCATTTTCATTGGTCAGCTATTACCCTGAGTTAAGCAAACCCTGATTGAAAACATTTCTCGAACATGTTCCTTTTCCCAAACTGTCATTTTATTCTCGTCAGTAAATATTCAGTAATGTCTCTGAAAGAAAAGTAGGTATTAATATTTGAATATCAGTAGCCAAGATAGCTGCAGTCACACTTATTTCATTTTGATTTTCTATTTCATGGCTGAGTATTCATGAATTGCTTCACTCTTTACACAAACTTGTGCTATCCCATCTGTGTCTCCCATTGAGTAGGCAGAGGTAATGGGCTGCCAGATCATAAGTAGTAAACCTTCTAAGCCAGCCTTTTACACCTGTAACCCTCCATTTACTCTTGTCTCTAGACCATACTCTTAAGGTGTGCTCTGTTTTTAAGGAGTCGTACTCTAGAGTAATCTCGATTATATAATTTGAATTTTGCTATATCATGTAGAGTGAATTCCTAGTAACTTAGAGACATTGAACCTATCTTTTTATGGAGAGAGAGAGAGAGAATAGAAAATATATCAAGACGCCTGAAATTTTATTCCTAAACTACACAAAACTAGTTTTAGATGAAACCTGCTATAAAGGCTAGAGGCACTTTTCTTAAAGTTATTCCTAAACCATATAAGGAGCAAACAAAAAAAAAAACCTTTCTTTTCATAACTTTGGAAAGAAAAAGTGGAAACAATGCTCTCTCTCTCTTGTTAACATTTCTCATGTACTTGAGAGGGTGGAATACATATATACATACATATATATATATGTCATATATATAAACAATCATATATATTTGTATATATGTGATTATTTGGCATTGGTGGTAGAGAAGAGGGGTAAGAAGAGGAAAATGATGCACAATACTGCCTAGCAAAGCTCTTCTGTACCTTTTGCTATATAAGCTCTTTTCTTGACCCTTTCCACCAAGCTGTGTAACCATAGGTGGTGCTTCTGTCATTCTTTTCCTAAACAAACTCTCTGATGCTGGCTGACTTCCAGTGTGGTTTTAAGTTCCAGAGGCCATGTGTGTTTTTAAGAAGAAAGAACATATTTTTTACATACCTATTCTTCCTTTTAAATGACTTCTTTTCAAGTTACGGCCAAAGAAGCCAGTCGTCATCCTGATTCCTTGTGATTTTAAAAACCTGTTCCTTATCTCTCCTGAATTATTTTGCTCTGCAGACCAGCTCACAAACACCTTTGTAATTTCTGTCTATGTACAAACCCGAGGTGTGCCACTGCTCCTTTGGACAGTCCAAATTTTGTGGATTTATACTCTTGATGTCAAGTGACCAAATCTAGACTTATCATACAGGTGTCTAATGTTCCCATTTTAACTTTAGCATGCTAAAAGTGTAGTTATAACTTCTAGTTAAACCCTAAGGATCGTATTTGTTTTTATAGGCAGTAGTAACACTCTGGGCAGGCCCCTTCACTCTGTTATTCCCCTGTCTGGAATTACTATTAGAGTAACAAGTTGGCAGTTAAATCCAAAACCACAGTCATTTAACCTGGTAAACTACCTATACCTATGCATTAATGATATTATTTTGCCCAGAAACAGCCATAAATTTCAATGGAAATGTATGTACATGACACCCAACTTTCTGATTTTCTCACATGTGTTTGAAACTATCTATTAAGTCAATAGAAATGTTAGGCCACTTGCTAAATTGTTTAACTTCATGGTCTATAAAATATTATCCAGCAATTCAAGAACTACTTGAACACCAATTATAATTAGAAAGAAGAAAAAAAGACTTACACTTTATTCATGAATAATTATTCCTCAAAAAGGTGTTACTTTCTAAAATATATAGTTCTTAGCTGAAGGGAATATATAAGCAGATGCGGAGAATTTTGAATATTAGAGTTCCCTTTGAAAAGATCACTTGCTGAATTAATGGAACTTAAAATTGGTAGGCTGGGGCTACAGTAAACATCTCTCTAAAGTGAGTTCTCATTTGGCCTTCTGGAGCAACTTAGCTTCTATGCCTTCGTGGAATATGGGAGAGCAGAAATTTTGCTCATGTCTAACATTCCCACCATGCTCTAATGGTTGAAGAATGGTTGGCCAACGCCTTTAATAGGAGTTCAACTGCCTGAGAAACTTAGAGCAGGGCTGACTCAGTTTAGCCTTACCTTTAAGGTCATACGTTCTCAATCACAATCATAATCATTATAATGTTCACAATTAAAATCATAATTAAACATTTATTCAATACTAAATTGCCTTACATGCATTAATTTATTTAATCTCCATAGTCAACCTAAATTAGATGCTATGTTAGCACTGCCCGCCCCCCCACCCCAGCTCATAATAATAAAGGAAACTAAAGCAAAGTTTGGTGAAGAGGTACACTTGCCTAAAGAGGTACAGCTGGTAAGCAGGTAAGGAGGCAGGATGAACCCGAACAGCAAATACCACTGCCAAACTCTATTCTCAGAATACTATAAACTTAGATATTTACTTTTGCTTTCTCTTACCTATATTCAGAACAGCTAAAGGCAAGAAATACATATTTTAGCATCTTGAAACTTTTTAAATAAAAGTATGGATATTTATGCATGGATGTGTGTATTCTACTGGTTAATTATAGTAATTCAA